TTTAAAAATTAAGATATAATATATGATTTTTATTAAATTTCACTCTCCCTCTCTCCTACCTTCATGTAAAGAAAATCACTCATTTGGCCCCTTTTTAAAAAAATTGATGGACATTTGTTTAAATTTAACAATGGGGTGAAATTACCCTAACTTTAATTATTTAGGATCTAGAATGTACCTTTTAAATTTTTATAGTTCAAATCGCCTTTGGACCTATAATTTATGTTCAAATTGCATATCAATTCTTAAATAAACATGATAATATTCGAATTTGATTCAATTAGATAACTATATCAAGAAAAATAAATCAAAATCCAGGTTTTATTATTTCCTGTTCCAAAAAGAAAAAAACCAAGCAAGTGCAGCATAGTTGGTAGCGGTCTAGGCACCCTTAGCATCATTCTAGAGTTTGATACTTTAATTTTTAAAGGTGTGTATGTAAAAACATATCTTGAGAGAAGATAACCCATTAAATAACTCTCAGATTTTTTGAAAGGTTAATCTCATAACTTTTGGTTGTGAAGATACCTTAGATAACCAAAGTATAACATATATATATATATATATATATATATAATATATATATATATATATATATTTTGTTTAAAAATATAAAGCATTTTTTAATAAGTTAGATATTAAAAAATGTAAGGTATTTTTAATTTTTTGAAGTGTAATTATTTTTTTTAAAGTGCCCTTATTAATAATAATTTTATATTTATTATAGAGTATTTAATAGAGATAAATATAAATAGATAGGGCTATTTTAAAAATAGATAACTATTTTATTAAAAGGTGAGATTCAATTAAAAATACTTTATATTTTTGGAGAAGTATATCTTAAAGAAAAAAAAAAAGATTTTATATTCTCAAAAATTTATTCGTCAACTTCTTGTTTGTCGAATTGCATGAGAATAAGTGAATAACCACTCCCACAAATCCAGTGACTACTTATTCCAAATCATTCTGGCAAAAAAAACTTTATCAAACTCACATGCAAAGATAGAACAATGAAAATAAAAGTCAACAGTCAACTTCATTAATAGTAATGAAATAGCGACATTATTGAAAATTCATTGAATCGTTGATAAATAGACTCTGCTATCTTTACGATGGAGAAAAGTTAGTCATCATGTCCCTTATTTCCCAATCAAAGATGCCAATAACTTTGCGTTCCAGGGTTTCTTCATTTTTTTTAATTGCAAATTAAGAACTTTATAATATCTTTTCTGGCAAAGGTGTCTATCGGTTAATTTATATGTTATGTGAAACAATAAATAAATTCTCTAAATATATATTGAATCAAGGTTTAGATCACTTAAATAGTCAAAATAAGTGACATTTCTTCTTAATCATCAAGCTAATTCTTTAGGATTAAGTTTCTTTTCCGCCATAAAATTTGCCGCATTAGTTTTGAAAGTGAAGCCCTTTTTATTAAGTCCAAATAGAATGGTACGCTACCACCTCCCCTCTAGAGTCTGGTGTATATTAATTAATTGTTTATTTTATATTATAAATTATAAAAGAAGTTTTTGAAAATAATATCCTAATAATATCTTATGTTTTTTTTTTCATACAGTATCTACTATCCAGTATTATTAATTCAAATTTAAGTATGATCAGGTTTAATTTGTAAAAATATTTTGTTTATGTTTACATGAATTCAGACTCAAATTAAAAATTCATGATTAAGTAGTCATAACTTTTTTTGTGAGTATAAGGAGTAAACTCTAACAAGTAGAGATATTATTTTTGTTGAGGCAATGACAGTAAAATGTATACCTCTCTCCAAACTAAATACATACACAACAATTAAAATTTGAACCCCTGATCACTTATTTAAATTATGAGAACTCTTAATACTCACATCAACTTAAATTGATTATGTTATTATAACCATATTTATATATGCTAGGACTAACCGCGTTCATAGCGTTCATGGTGACATTTGAAGCAATGCTATTGATTCTTCAACATGCTTAATAAGTTGTTTTCTAATAAATAACAAAAGGATATTTTCCACCTAAAAAAAAAGCCAAAGTATATTTTTAGTTTTCTAATTTTATATAAGGTCTCAATTTGATCCTTTAATTTTGTAAAGTATCTTTCTATAATTCTTTAACATCGTTAGTTTTAAATAATTATTTTTGTGTCAATTATTGTTATTTTGAAAAAATTAAACTTAATATATCAACATTTAAAGATGTTTTATCAATATTTGAAAGTTTTATACAAAAATTCATTGGGATAAAACTAATAGTATTATGATTAAAGGACTAAAAATATATTTTATGAAGTTAAGGAATTAAAATGAAATGTAGTGTAAAGTTAAAGGACTAAAAATATACTTTAATTAAAAGAAAATTAATCCGTGAGTTTCACTAAATATTAACATTAATTTTTATTCACATGCATGTCATTATGATTTTTTAAATAAGTTTATAACATGTTTTTGTAACATTTTAGACAGGAAAAATATCCTCACATACAATGTTGAAATGTGTTTCACATGTAACATGCATATGAAAGTGTGTAACATATATATATGATGAGTCTCTTTTATTTTTTGAAACTACCTAGAAGTATCTTACACCAATGATAAAAACTAATCTTTCTCATAATATATGAAAAACAAATGATAGATCGATTCCTTTCAACTAAATTTGTTACATATACAAAAATTAGTAATTGAATCTCATTTATTTAATCTAATCGGTGATATAGTCCCTACCACACCATCTTTCAAAACACAGGCGAAGTAAATCAACATTTTTTTTGTTTTGCCAACAACTATATTAGATCATTCTGATAAACAAAGCCAAATTAACCGCCTAACTTTTTGTCTCCCAAATACTCCATCCATGCATGGCCCAAAGGAATTTCTTTATAAAGACACACACATACACGTGCAATGGAGAAGCTTGAAAAAATTGAAGGCTGTAACAAATGGACTTCAAGGGGAATCACAAAAACATTAATGATCTCTCAAGAAACGACGACTCTGTGGGATTATCGTACTTTCGATGCAACGAAGGAGTCCCATTCAAATGGGAAATGCAACCTGGAATCCCAAAACATCCTCAACAACATCATCTTCAACACATTCCTCCACTCACCCCACCACCTGCGATTCTCAGTTCCAATCTTCCCAGGCCTTCCATTTCTCATCATCACCACTTGATCTCTAATAAGCCTTCCTCGTCAAACTGGTCGACCAGGCTGCGATTTTGGAAGAGAAATGTGACTGGTGAAGCAACCAGCATGCTCAGGAAACAGAGTCGTTTGAGTAAGAAGGTCATCAGAGATAGTAGTGTTGAGGATGCGATATTTGCAAGGTCAGAGTGCTTTTCTTCTGATCGTGAATCTGTGGCTATGTCGTCTTTGCCGTTTGATTCGAGTTTCTCTGTTTTTCATTCTTGTTCTTCAAGTCGCTCACAGAGTCCTGCCGGCCGAGGAATATATGGAAAGTCTTTGAGTTGCTTTCCGATGCATTATTCCATTAAAAATCCTGGTTTCCATGGCAAGGCGAGATTGACATTATGATATATATATATATATATATATATATGGATATGATTACATGATATAGAGTTAGAGTAGTCTTTCTCGTCGTTGCTGCAAAATTATATTTGTCATCAATTAAATTTGCATTTTTGCATTACCCTCAAGACTCCTTGCATCATATTTTTTGTGAATGTCCTTTTATTAAAGCCATTTGGTTTGGCTTTATGAGAATTTGTCTGGAAGAAATTTCTTATTAAGGTTGGATCTACTGGTTTCTTAGAGTTTCTGATAGATTACATAGAGATAATGATCTTTCTAAGGTTGAGGAAATTTTTTGCTTTTCTACACTTCATATGGATGGCAAGAAAGTAATAAAGGGAAACTTTTAATGCCGCATCAAGTAATTAAAGATTTTCAGGAACGGATGAAATTTCTTGGATATGCTTATACTTGGAATTCTTCTGGAGATTCATCTAAACACAAGGAGAATAATAATTTGAATGCTTCTTCTCCGAGGAAAATTGTCAATGTTTGCTACTCATCAGTTGGTATAAATTCTGCAAATGATTCTTCTCTTCGGACTATCAAAATTTCAAAATTCAAGAGAAAGAACATCAATTTTTCTGAAGCAACACTCTATTTTGGAGAAGAAGAGCTGCAATGATTTCTTATCACAAAATCATTTCGTTCTTCCTCGTGCGGCTTCTTGCAAGCTTGCCTTCGTAACATCTTGCAATGGGTGATGGATACTAACAATCAATCTATTATAAGAAGTTTATAGTTAGGAGATTTAAAGATTATCATATATAATGGAGATTTCTTGGTTTTACAATCTCGCCAGAAAAAAAGTGTTATTTAACAAAACATTCAACATTATGCTATGTTAATTTAGCTCAGTGCTGGTGTAACAGATTAATCAACATTGTATTTCTTTCTTTTCTTTTCTTTACCTTTACTAATTTATGAATTGTATTTTCATTGATTTTATATTTTTAATTGATCATTCGACCCTTTTATTAAAAAAAAATTATATACTTCTAGTTAATTATTTAAACTTTTATATTCAATAAAATTCTTTTCATTTTGCTTTAACATGCTTTTAAAATGGGCTTAGTGAACAACTTTTTTAATTCAAACAATTTTTCAATCGTCTAGAGTAATTATTTTTTATGCATTTAGAACATTTGCTTATATGTTAGGAATAAGAACAACAAAATATTCGAGTACATCATACTTGAATAAAATGATATTTCATTAAATAAAAACAAAAATATTTTTAAAATCTCGCTTATATATATAATCAAAATATGAAAATATATGTTAAATTAATTATACTGGTTTAACTACCATCCGACTTATTCAGTTCAATAGCCAATCCATAAATTTATAAAAACAAAAAAAAAAGTGCTATTAAATACAATGGGTAAAATGATTTTTTTTTTTTGACAAATTCTAAGTGCTGATGTTTTGAACTAAAATTGGTTGGGAGAAAATACTTATATTTTGGACCACAGGAAGTATATCATACATGACATTTGTCTGTTTCTTTAAAATATATATATATATATATATTATAAAAAATGAGTAACTAAACTCCAAATAGTCTCTCACACTATTCATTTATCCCACTCAATTGCGTCGTGAATTTTACCAGAACCTGCAGCAGCAATATCAAATATTAAAGCATCCAACATGAAATGCTATTAAATTTGATTGTAATGCTTGTGACACATAAATATCTTTTTCTTCTCAAAGCAGTTCCACAGAGGCAATAACATTACTTAATTAATCACAACATACTAAATACTAATTACATCGATATTATATCTTACATCTCAGCCTCGAGTGGGCTTGTTAACACAATCAAGAGCAAGATTGGTTAGTTAGACATGCTGACACTGTTGACTTGATTAATCGTGTCAAGAACTAAACTAGTTGTGCCCCAGCTTTCCTAGTTACACACTGCCTGCAAATCAAAAGGCAACAATATCACAACGAAATAACCAGTAATGGGGTTCGTTAGGAAGCGATGGCAGACGGAAACACAAAATGAGATGCCATGGCAATAACAAATTTTTTATCTTATCAGTATGAAGCATCGCCCAATCTTTATAAACTACGAGGCATCCTTCATTCAAAAATTCAAGTGGGCATAATATAAACATGAATAGAAGTTTTCTTTTTTCTTTTCCTTTCCTTTCCTTTCCTCTTGTTTTTCTTTTCTGGATGAACACAAGTAGTTTGTAAGCATGTGCTATCAGGATTTTACAAACAAGCAAGACAGGTAATACATTTTTTTACAGCTAAGAACAAAAATAAAAAAAATTAACATGATATGCTCTTACAAATTACTTGTATGGTTAGGGAAAAAAAATCACTTCACAGATGACGGGAAAAAAGAATACAGCTGCATAAATGCATACCTCAGCAGGGGATGAGATGACAGATTGCCTGCAAAATTACAGAGGCAATTCAATTGAAGGCAGATATACATAATTGATAAATATAAGGAGTACTTCCCAAATCTAAAGCATACTGTAAGTACCTCGGCCTCTCAGACTTTGCAAGATGTTTGGACATTATGGAAGCCTGAAGTATAAACCCATTATTGAATTAGCTTCTAAATAAATATGCATCGCCAAATAAACATGAACTGAAATCTGCACGAAATAAATTGCCAAACAGCTAGCTCCAACAGCAGACAGCTCAAAAGCATGAATGATGAAACTCAGTTTAATCTTGATCCAGGACGGCATTGCAAATGCCTCCGCCCTTTCCCTTCAATTTCTGGACAAATTATTGACTAGTACCTATCTTGTAATAGCTAAAGGAAATAGCCTTACCTGTTCCTGTATGATGCTCCTTGCTTCAACAAGTTGAGCTTCAAGCTCAAGTTCCCTTTCAGTTGCTTCTGAGGAAACTTCTGCTCCTTTCTGAGCATCTTGCAATTGAACCATGCGCTCCTTCATATTTCAAGGCATTAGCATCCCAAAATCATTCATATATGAAAATACTAAAATGGACAGAGATATTGAACAGATACCTTTATTGAAGACATCTTGTTACGAAGACTTTCTTCTATTTGATCTCTGGCCATGTGAAAAGGTAGGTCAAACACGTCCTACAGATGGCAAGGTCATTAATCTAATATACTTGTTTTCCATTGGGAAGGAAGTATCTGAAATCTAAAAGGCCTCCATACCGTCCTCCCAACCAATGGAGATCGTGAAGGATCGCTTTCACCTTTTTCATTGGCAGCTAGCGATTGCTTTGAGGGTCCATTGGGAGCATTTAAGAACTCACGCATATCCTCCTGTAGGCAGGGCACTCATATATCTCAGAATCAAACACAAAGCTACGCACTGAATGGCAGCTTCTAAAATCTCAAGATGAAACCCAGTAACAAAATGCTTGAGTTCAAACACATAATTACATGGATAAAATTTTTAAGGGCCTGACCTCTTGTAAACATTTTCATCATGCGGCGAAGTATTTTACCACCACTATTTGTAGATAAAGTTAAGTTCCCTTTTCCATATCCATTTTAACATAATGAACTGGTGGACAGTTACAGCAAGACCATTGTCCCAACTACTAGTCCACCATATCAAAAGATGCTGCTATCATGCAACAGTTTAGAACTATGTTATTCATTAGAAGTAGCAGTCACGCAAGCAAAAGTGCCTAGTGTTTACATTTGAAAGGGGCAACTTCATGCTAGTTCTAATGAGCAAGATGTAAGAATAAAATTCAGGTCAATCTTGCCATCAGCCAAAAAATTCCTGCACAGTGGCACACAGAGAGATATTCACAGCAAAGAGAGACAAACAGGGAGGTCCTAATATAATCAAATTGAAAGCAAGGAAAAATTTGAAATAAGAAGTGGCTATCACTGGAATAGAAAATTGGTGAAGAATCCAAAATCACATCATAAGAATATTCAACAGAACATGGGCAGCAGGGACATTAGACTCATAATTTATTTGTCTTAAAGATATTGGAGCAATTAACAATAGCCAACCTGCATTGATCTCAGCAAGGCTCTCAAATCAGCATTCTCAGCCACCAGTCCTTGATTTTTCGCTTCATAAGCATCCACCTTCAAATATTTTGAACAAAATGTGAGAGATAATCATTGGCCAAAAATATCAAGAGTTATGATGACAGGGTCAAAGCAGATTACAATCTTTTTATAAAAATCATTGTCAGCCTTCTTTCCATTCCATGTTCCACGTTGCCTCCCTTCTTTCTATTTACAAAACGCACACATCATGAATAACAAATCAACATGAAAATGAAAAGCTAACAAGCAAAATGAGACTGTTTATACAGTTGATACCTGAAGCAAATTCATTATTTCCATGCCTGACCTAGATTCCTTCTTCTTCTCCATCAATACTTGGTTTAACCTCTCTTGTAACTTTATGTACTCCTTTTCCTTCTTCTTCATCTCATGCATTTGTTGAGTTCTTACTTGCTTTGGCAGAATTGATATAATTTTGTCCAAATGTCAGAATTGGTCCATTTTCAAGTGAGAACTGACCAGAAACAAGCGGCAAAAAAATGTAGATCCATTTTCTAACCTGATTACCAAGAACCATCTTTTGAAATTCATCCCGTTCTTGTTGTAGCTTTTCAATTTGGGCCTTGAGAGCTGATGTGTTCTTAGCTTCCTGAAAAGAAAGAATTTTCAAAGGTATTAACCCTATATATATATATATATATATCCATGCAATGTAGTAGAGTTACTCAGCAAAATAGAATACTATTAGATATTAAATATTTCCATAATTGGCACACTCTAACTGTCATGGTATGTTTTGTATTCGCTATAACATGATTATCATTTTATCATCTATCTAACCGTTCTAGTAATTGTTGCTATCTCCCTGTCTTTGGCTTGCAGCTGTCCTTCAAGTCTCTCAACTTTGGCCTCCAATCTTGATATATCGGATAACAGTCTATGACAAAGAAAATTAGGGGAAAAGCCCGATCAGATATACATGAATCACGACACTTAAGTGATGTTCTGAACTTCTGATACTAGTTTGTGACTAGTTCAAACTATCATTGCCTCATTGTGGCCATCCTACACTTTCTTGATCCATATACGTCAACAGAACATTGAAAAGCATTATATGTTGAGTAATCTAAGGAAAACAAACACCTACAAATAAAAATTCACAAAGATAAAAGGACCCTTAATATCTTTCAAATTAAAAAGAGCCGGGAGAAGCTGCATAAGCAACTAAAAAGGTTTTTCAGTTTATATACTAATACATGAACCTTGAATATAATCTAAGCCTTCAAGGATCGGGTACGCTAGGGGAGAACAAAAGTAATTCAGAACATCGAGTAAACAGTATATTTACCGTTGTCTTTGTTCATTAGCAGAATCTCTAAATTCAACATCACGCTGTCTCTGCTGAAGCAAGAAGTATATGCAATTGCAAGTCCGTGCGATGGAAACCTACCAAAATAAACACAGGCAGATATTAAAAACAACATACCTTTTTATTCTCTTTAAACAAAGAGCAAGTTGCGAAATCGAAGATCGACGCTCACAGGATCATTTGCAAAAAGATCCAGAGAAGCTGGAAATCCGTACGTAACAAGCGATTGGTTCAAGTACTTAGCACAATGGTCCAAATTCCCCGCATCCGCAAATGTGTACTCCCTGGAGAGCAAGATGGATTGAATAACAAATAAAATAAAACAAAATCAGAAACCTCAACATAAAAACACAATAACTCAAAACCAATCAACAAAAACAAAATGCCAATGAGTGTAGGAGCAAAACACATAATGGATCAGAAGGACACGAACGCAAATGCACGACGCAAGACCACATACAACATTTAATGTAGAAATTCAGAGAACGATGAAAAGGGAAAGTGCGACTCACCCCATTGTGAAAGTAGGCTGAGAATGAGAAGATTGCTGCGAAGAAAGAGTATAAAGAAGAGTTAGATACGAATGACGCACGAGTAGGGTTTACGGGGATTTTACCGTAAGATTGAATTCTCCGTCAGCTGATAGCAACGGCATTGATGAGAGCTTCTTTAAGCTTCGGATAAACTAAAGAAGCAATGTATGTGATCGATCGGAGTCTCTATGCGACTGTAGGCAGATCTACGAAGTTTGGCGTAATTTGAATTATTGTAGTGGAGAAATGTATAAATTTTGAAGCGGCGAAGTATGGCAAGTTTATAATCTGGTGCAGTGATGTCTACGTAGGCTTTTGATTTAGGAATAAGGGATGTCCCGTGGAAAGGTTTAAATGGTTCGCCAAGTTTGCCGTTATGCGAACGTGGCGTTCTGTTATTCCTTGGAAGTATTAGAAAGATATTTAGCGGTTCGCAGGTTGCCTAAAATAATGGCGCCAGGTCCCAGGTGGTTCTCGCCGCTGGAATGGTTCGTGGCAATTCGGCTCCGGCCTTTGGCGTGGAAGCTAAAATCCGAATTGAAAAATAATTAGTAATGATGATATTATTAATGAATTATTTAAACATCTTCAATATTTCTGTGACAAAAAGTGAAAATTTGAAAATTACATAAATTAGTATTTTTAACAAATTATGTGTAAGTGTTACACTATGTTGTACAGTGGGTTATTATTAGTTTTTCCATATATATATATATATATATATTTGTTATAAAAAAAATCTTGCACACATACTCCTCTGTTAAAAAATATAAGGTATTTTTAATCAAATTTCATCCTCAATAAAGTAGTTACCTACTTTTCAACTAACCTTATCTTTTAAAGGTAATAATTATACCTTGAAAGATTAAAAATATTTTATATTTTTTAATATTTAATTTTTTAAAAAATACTTTATATTTTTAAATAAAGAAAATATATACTTATATAACACGTTGCTTTCAAACTTTTTGTCGTTATATATATGTTGTCCATGGTGGGAAAGACAGAGATCCATAGACCCGTGCAAACCCAAGGATTTTTCTTTTTCCCAACCAAACTAAGACATGTTTATATTTTTTTATTCCTGATTTAGTCTATGGCTAATGCTTGTTACCAAGTTTTTTATTCTTTTTTTAATAGATTTAAAATCCAATTGTTAATGTTATAATTTGATTTCTTTTCCCTTAAAAAGGTACAGTTAGCGTATAAATTCTTTTTCTAAATTATGACACCAAGAATATAATTATTTTTTTTTGTCTATAGATATCTTTTTATTAGAAACTTCTTTCTCAGAGTTTTAAGGATTGATTCCATAACTATTTTTCCCTCACATTAGACAGATTTTCTTCTTGGCCGGAAAAAAAAAAAAGACAGATTTTCAATTAAAGAAACAATGAGCTGCATCACACAATTATCGTACTTTTGGATTTCTTTAAGTTAACTCTGCTCTTAGCCTATTGATGCTCACGACACTTTTTCACATGAGCCTCTTTTGTACTCAATCATTCAAAAGCCACTTGTTTCTTACTCGAGTTTATTAAATCAAATGGGAGTCGATATGAATGATAAGTGACTCAATTTTATTTAAATAAGGTTTTAAATTTGAGTCTTGTATATATAAAAAATTTTCGTTAGAAAATTCACCTATCAAAGCTAGGTACGCAACGCGGGTTGGATCTGAATGTAATTAAGGTAAAGCTTCGATGAAACGGGTGGACAACAAAAAAAAAGTTTATCAAATCAAAATAATTAAAAACTGTAGAAGATGAAAACATGCATGAAACCCACTTGGAGAAGGATGGTTTACTCATAGCTCAATCAACTTCAATGGCACAATAGCTTTGTAGCAAGTGGTATCATTCATGATAATAGTATATATAAAACAATTCTCTAAACGTCTCGTTTACTATATATCCTAATATATATAGCCACAAAATTCTTGAGAATACTTGTAGGCCTTACCTTGTGTTGGAATGCTACAGCTCGTAAAAGTAATGTCTTTATTAATTTTTTTAGAGGCTTTTACTTTCATTTAGAATAAATTCTCCCAAAATCATTGCCTTTACCCTTTCATCAAGAAGATAAAAGACCTTGTTATGCAAAACTAAAATGCCAACTTCCGATTAGAGCCCAGAATTTATGTCGGGTGTAACACTCTCAAATTTACAAATTGATTTTTCATAAATTATTAAAACCATTATCATGGTAGAAAATTTTTTTACCATGATACATCCAAGACATAACACAAGATTTAAAATATCCAAAAAGGCAATTAGAACCATGAGGGACAGACATTATCCTCATGACATGATATTCAAATCAAATCATAAATCAAGAGAGATAGACATAATCTTCTTGGTCATATAAATACTTTTAATAAAAAGGATTAGAGTTTACATGCTTCATAAAGAAGATATGTCTTAAGTTGGCACAAGATACATTGTATAATCCAAAATAAGAGGCAATATAAAAGATGGTGTTTCATACACCATAATTACACCTCTGGTGCTTTCTCGGCCGGACTCGCTCCTGTAAAAATATTAACCACGGGGAATGAGACTTAAAAGTCTCAGTAACCAAAAATTAATATGTAATGATGCATGCGGTTGTAACTAATCATGCAATTGCTAAGTGGGCATACAAAATATTTAACCGAACAATATTTTCAAACAAACCGAACAAGTATTTAATTTGCATAACTGCACCTTATATCCTCCTTTTGCCATGCTCGGACGCCAAATCACCAGGCCAAAAGTGAGTTGGACCAAGCGACACGCCACTCATTGGGTCCAATGAGGGCTTACCACGTGGTAATAATTAACCAAACAGAAATTTTCATTAACACCATATATTAAAATACCCTGATAAGTCATGCATCATTCAAATATCCAAACAGAAATATATCCGAACAATAATATCTCATCATGATAAACAAAAACAAATTTTTTTACCCACTTGACAATAATTTCAAACAAGTATATCCAGTATTTATTTTCAATAATTCATACTTTTTTCCAAACAATAAAACAACACATAACCATTCACAAACACACCCATCACAATACATTAATAATGGTTACCTTGTGTTTTGAATAACAAGTTTCCCTTCACAACTCCTCTTTCACCACAATCTTTGTCAACACAATCTACATAGTTATTTCATAATACTATATATTAATTTTACATAAAAATAAATAACTCTAATTTAAAGAGTTAGAAAGTCTTAGATCTATAATCTATATTAACACTAATTTAAGATTTATGCCTCATTTAACTTTTCAAATTCTTTTCTAAAATTTTCATACCTTAATAAATCATATTTAAGCCTCAAATCACCTTTTTATAACCTCAAAAATACCTATTCATACTTAAATAAATATTTAATAATCAGAGGTTCATTCCTACATCTCAGATTCCACATAAATTTTAATTCAAAAATTCTTAAACATGAGTTTCAACCTCAAAAAAATATTCTATAATATTTATTATATCCCAAAGAGTTTTAACCTATATTTTTAATCCATCATATCATCAGATTAACTATCCTATAGAAAAATTCTAATCAGAATATTTACTCTATCCTACAAAATAATCATATCACTAGAAAGCTAATATTATTTAGAAAATAACTATAAAATTAATTTTATAATTAAATAAATTTTTAAATGCTAATCTAAATAGGAAAGTTAGAACATACCTAAAGAAAAAGAAAATAATCTCCCTTTGCGAGAAAATGCCGAGCAATGTGAGAGGAAGAGAGAAAAATAATATAAAAATGAGATTGTGGGTCCCAAAATTATATTAAAAAAATTATAGGTTTGAATTTAATTATTCAAACCTTTGGGCCATTATTTGTAATTTTTACAAATTATATCTTGAGCCCTTAATTGCAATTTTCACAAATTGTATAAACTTTTCTTTTTCTTCCTTATGCTCCTCCTCCCCTGTGCCTCCTCCTTTTATATGTGAGGAGGCACCTCACCTTCCCACATCTAATTGATGTGGGACTTTTATAGTGCCTTTCTCTCTTTTTTTTTAATTCAACCATTTTTTTACTTTTTTTTTAAAACTCACACACACACATAAATTTTTTTATTTTAAATCTTATAATTATATCTTAACAAAATATTTTTTATATAATTTTAAACTTAAATTTTTAATTCATAATTAAATTTCTAACCATATTATTATTTCTGAATAATTTTAAATAATATAAATTTTTATTATTATCATCATTTTTTTTTAAATTAGGATGTCACATTGGGTCATGAGGTTTAGCCCAAATAACTAATTATAAGAGTTGGATCGGGTTGGGAAAAAAAGTGACTTAAATAATTAGTAAACCATGTAGGTTAACTCTTATGAGTTAGGGTTAGCCCGTTTAACCCATATTATTTTTTAAAAAAATTAGAAAAAAGAAAAAAGGGAAAACTTTTGTGGATATAAATTATATTGGGCATGATTTATTTAGCTCGATCAATTTATATATTTCATATAAACATTATAAATTAATATTTTAATATATTTAAAATGAACCATGAAAGAATATCAAATTAAAAATTATTATTTAGATGTATTTTTTAAAAAATTTATAAAAATAAATAAATGGATTAGTGGGTTAGCTTATTTAACCTAATAATCTTTAAGGGTTGGGTTGGATTGAGATTTTTTCAACCCATATAAAAAACAGGTTGAATCCCAACCTAACCTACATTTTTTCAACCCATATAGATCAGGTTGGCCCATATTTTTACCTCTACCTTCAATCATATTTTTTAAAAAACAAATAAATGTGTTAATTAACTAACTCACTACTATGTAATATGGTGTGTGTGTATTGTTTATTAACATTACGTTGTATCAATAATGAGATTTCAACATACCCTCTCATCTCATGAGGTTGAGATCGTACCCCATAGATTATCTCTACATGGATCTGAAATATAATCCAAAAGCGAAAGAAATAAGAACCCATAGATTAGGTGATGAGACCCATATCACAGCCATCTTTGTCTCTCCATCCATACCTTCCTGCTGCATTGAGACAAGATCCTCTGTAAATCATGAGATGGGTTAGACATTACTCGTGAGCTGTATGATTGCGACTAAATTAGGGTTCAGGTTTCTAATAGCATAAAACACTAATATATATATATATATATAACTTAGATAGCGCCCTTATTGGAACATTTATACTTTCAACACTAAAATGTTCCTAAATATTAAGGCGGATCATATCGGGATGCTTCTGGTCTAAAAAGCTAAACTTATTGAAGCGCTGTGATATAACTAAAAAAATTTTAAATTCTT